TCTAGTATCTACTATAATCTAATTAGGAAGGCCTAAATAGTTATTAATCTAGTATTACTTAAGTACGTTTTAGGTATATATTATACTAATATTCTAAAGCTATTAGCCGGCTTAATATCAAGTACCTTTATTAATAATATAAAGTATAAGCTTACCGGAAATATAGAAAATATTAATAATAATAGAATAGTTAAAGCTAATATTATTTCTCAGGTTAAACTTGAATTATCCGGGTAATTAGCCATATTTCTGGCATTACTTATAGTACTTTATAAGATACTCAAGGGCTTTTATATTAATATTATAGCCTGCTTATTCTAGTATATTTTAGAGCTTACTAATAAATAAATAACTAAAATAATAATATAAATATTATAATTTAACTTTTATAAGAAAGCAGGAATTATAAATAAAGAATTCGGAAATAAAGCCTTATAATATAGTATTTCAAAGTAAGAAAGAGTATCCGAAACATTATACTATAGGTATATATTTTCCGGTAGAAATAATAAGATAATTAGTAAGATTATTAAAGTAGACTTCTAGCTTATCTATATTAGCCAAGCTAAGTAAAAATAAAGTCTTTAAAGATATAATATGAAATTATACTTGCCTAATTAGTATACTTACTATTATAGATCTAATAGAAGACATAGATCTAATACTAAACTAGATATTAACTTGACCTTTAGTAGTTTTATTAAGTTTAATATTATTATTAGTTTACTAGAGAGCTTAGAATTAGTTAGAACTAGTAATTAAGTATCTAGAGGCTCCGGTATTAATTATAATTCCGTAAAAGTAGTAAGTATTATATCTTAATATACTATTAATTATAAAAGTCTAGGCATCTTCTATTAAGGATTTAATAGGCTTTAAGGTATGGTTTTCGCCTATTATCTAGTATATAAGGGAAAGAGAAATAAGGTTATTTATAAGGGTATTAGTTATAGTTATTAGTAAAGCAAGAGTAGTAAAAGTAACTAAAAAGCTCTTAACTAAAGTAAAGTAAGAATCTGGGTAGTATTTCTCTTCTTTATTCGTTTCCGCTAATAAAGCCTTAAAAGCATTATTTACTAGTTTATCCTTATTACCCTTATTACCTTCTTTATCTTTGGCTTTAGTAATATACTATATATAAGTATTACTAAAGTATTTATTAAAGTTACGGGTATTTCGGGATCTGAACTAATAGATATTTCTATTTCTAAATCAAGCCTTCTTAGCCTCTTATTCCTCTAGTATATGCTTTCATAAGTAGTATTCGGGTTTCTTATATATAAAACACGACTTTAGGGCATAATTATTATAATTACGGGGCTTAAAGTAATTATTACAAGTTCCGAAATTATAGCTAGGTCCATATTAATAATTTCCGGAAGAATAATAGCTTAGAGAATTCTAAAAGTAGTATTATTAATTAGTAAAAAAGGTTTCGGGATTAGCTTATTATTTACTCTTATATATAGTAATAGATAACTAGAGCTTATTAATAAGCTAGCCGAGATTTATAAGAGAGTTTGAGATTACATATTTATATATCCGGAAGCCTTAGTAAGAGGTAATAATCTTATTATAAAGAAATTTAGTATTTCGCAAGTTAGATATAAGACTATATTATAATTAATATAGTTTATTAATTAGTAATTAAATAGTCTTAAATATTATCTTTTCCGGAAATTTAGTAATTATAGAAGCTAATATAATAGCATTTCACTTATCTAAATTTCGATATTCGAATCCAGGGCCTTTAAAAAAGCTATAGATATTAATATAAGCCTTTTTATATATATATTAAGAGAGCTAGTTACTATAGAAATAGTCTTAAGCTAGTTCCTTTAGTATAGTAGGAAAAGCTCATATTAGTGTTTTTTATAAAAGCTTTATATATTAGTAAATATTAAGGAAAATAGTAAGTTTATAATTAAAATTACTATTAAATCTATTATACTTTTGCTTTTTAGTATAGATCTTGGCAACTTCCCTAATAAGTCTTATAGTTAAAGGAAATTAGGGGTTATTCGGATATAGTTACGGTAATAGTAGTAATAGTATACTATTTGCTCCTAAAGCTTCCGTACTAGTATATAAATCTAGTAAAGATATAGGATATAGTAGTAAAAAAAGTAATAGAGGAAGTAATAGTAATATAGGAATATTAAAGATAATAGGTTCTAGGCACTTGTTCTTTATAAGAGTAATAAAGCCTAATAGGATTAGTCCCTTAATAAGGTCTAGTCTGGCTACTAATATATCCTTATTTAACTATATATACTATTTATTCTCCTTTATAATAGTATATAGAATATTTATAATAGTATTAGTACTATTATTCTATTATATAAATATACTACTATACTAAAAGCTCTTATATAGGCATAGTATCTCCGGGAGTTCGAATTTATTAAAGTTCCCTTAATAAGTAAAGTCCTTAAAATTATATCTAAATAGCTCCCAAAGGTTATTATTAACTATTTTATAGAGAATATATTAAAATAGCTTAGTATCTAAGAACTCAGTTATCTCATTTGCCTTAGTAAAGTTTAGATTAATCCCATATTTCTACTTTCTTACTAATTCCTTGAAATTATTATTATTTATAGAGTAATTAGATTAGATAGATCTAATAAAGGAATTATCTGCCATAATATATTCCGCTATTATATATTCTATAGGCTTATACCTAGTTCAAGATATAGTAGTTTATAAGGAAAGTAGGTTTATAAAAAGAATAATAATTTATAAAATAGGTAATTTATAATAGGTATTATATTTAAGGTAAAAATTTCGTTTATAACAAGAAATTTAGGAAGTGAAATTTAAGAAGTAAAATATCAAGATTCCGGGAGAACTTAATGGTTCTAAAGCTTAAGAGCCCCAGGGATTTAAAAGAAGATGGTTTTTGAGAGGATTTTATAGGAATTAAATAGAAATAGAATAAGATAGTTAAATAGCTAACTATTTTAGTACTTGGTAAGATCAAGTACCCTTCCTGCCTATATAACCGAATTACAGGTAATAGGACTAATAAATATTCCCCCCTTTAATATAGTATAATCAGGCCTTAGTAAGATCAAGTATCTTTCCTGCCTATATAACCGAATTACAGGTAATAGAATTAATAGTTATTCTCTCTTTAACTAGAATAATGGCTTTGCCCCTAAGTAACCGAATCTTAGGCAAGTATAGCTTAATCCTTCCTGATCTATAAGTACTAACTAATTAGTATCGGTTTACTAGTAATACATGGCACCGTTATATAGGCATAGAAGTACTATTTGCATAAGGTTAGTAAAGTTATTATTCAGAAATAGGGATTGCAGTATTATAATATTAATATGTAATCCCTAAATCTACTAAGCCTAAAGGGGTCTAGTCTACTAGTCGAGTCACTAATAGGATGCGAGGTCACATGACTATGTCCCGTATCCCATATCCCATTACTCATGTCCCATTGCCCATATCTCATTACCTATTACCCATGTCCCGTGTCCCGTATCCCGTAACTACACACGTGACTTCCAGAGGAATAGCTATACTAATAATATTTTTTATTAAATAGAAATATAATTATTTTCTCTAATTAGACTATTTATATAATATAGCTATTAATATAAACTATATTTTACTAAATAAAGAAATTACTTATTAACTAATTTCGTTATATTTAAATATTTCTAATATTAAATAAAATATTATAATTATATTTTTAGCTTATTAGCTATTTAATTATAATGAATTAAATAAAAATATATGTTTTATATATATGTGGTCACGTGACTACAGTCCAGTCATTTAACCGTAATTAGATATATTTGCCTTATAATAAGTACTATTTCTTTATTTAATAAAATATTACTATATTAGTAGCTATATATAAATATCTCTAATTCGAATTATATTTTAGCCAAATTAGAAATATTTTATTAAATAAAGAAATAATCTTTTAGCCCAAATAAATAATATAAAATAAGTCTAGTTTAATATATTATAATATATAATTTAGGTAAATAAATACTCGAATATAATTAATATAATAAATTTTTATAATAGCTAAAGTTTTAGGAATTAATATTTATTTAATATAAGAGTTTAAATATTATTATAATTCTTTAAAATATAATATATTTTAATTAAAATAATAAGATATATATTCATTATATTTAAATATATATTAAGTTTAAAATATATCTTTTTGAGAATTATAATTATAAATATAAAAAATTATATTAAATCTTAATATAATATTTATAATTCTTTAAAATAGCTTAATAAAATAAAATAAAAGTAATTTTAATTTTAAAAGAATTTTCCTAATAATTAAATTAATATGAGATTAAAATTGAGTTAGCTTTTATTTAAATAAATTAAATTAAATAAATGTTATAAAGAGTAATATTATTTATATTATAAGTAATAAAAAAAACTATTATTATTATTAATAGATATATAAGAGTTATATAAATATTATGCATTTATTACTGGCTAAGACTAATATTATTTATATAATTTAAATAAATTTGGCCATCCCTAATAGGCATGCGTGTCTCCAGGCTCTGTATTGTTCTAAGCGCCGTGGCTCTGAGGGCTGCAGGGCGCCGATACCGAACTCGGTGTGAAGACGGGAAAGACGGGAAAGCCTTGACCTATCCCCAGTGGGTGTGGAGCCTGCATTAAGCTAACGTCGGTGGCACAGCTGAAAGAAATATGGGCGGATTCTAAGGCTCTCTCTCAGCAATGATGCTCACCTATCCCTCGGCAAAGCCGAGACAGGACACGGCCCAAAATTTTGAGTCTGCTCTGCATCTACGAGTGAGAATTTCGCAGAATCCTCGCTCGGCCAGCCTCAAGGCTCGGTCCCGCAGCCTTGGGATCGTGATTAAGAACTAATCCTGGGCTGTCACGAACTCAATTCTGCCCCTCCTCCTTTGATTGAAAGATAAGAGGCCAGGAAAGCGGGAAGAAGGACGAAGTAGCTATCTTATTGTATTTACAAAACATTAGTTATTATTAGCCCTCTCATTCGAAGTTTGGCTTTCAAGATCTTCAATTGTTGTCTCACAGAAGACTTCATCATCCATCAATATTTGCACAACTAACCTTCTGCCGAAGAGCTTCATCTTCAAAACCAAAGGTGCTGAAAAGTAAGGAACTCCCGTCTGAGGGTTATTTCCCTGGTCGAAATTGCTCAGGGGAACCGTTGAAAGATCGATGTTGAGCACAGCAACCGTTTCCAGCTCTAATTGATTCTTAGGACCCGGAAATGGTCATGCCAGGATGTGGGAAAGATCACTCACCATGTTGTGCATCCTGAAAACGCTTCGGTTCCATTTCATCGTCATTAGGGTATTCGTAAATTGGAAGTTGAAACTTTCTCCCACTTTCGGTCGTGAAATGATAGACAACCTTCTCCTCGGTCTCCTTATGAACATCGGACAAAAGAAGATCGCCTCTGCGGATAAGCCAGATCATCTGGTGTTGCGCTACGACGTGGTTCGTTACTGGGTTCCTAGTCACGTCTGTCTTGTCGTACTTGTAGACGCGCATCGTCTGGTTGATCTTGATTCCATAGCTTGTCGAGCACGTTGCCATAGTCACAACGTTCTTGTAATTCGATTTCTCGATCCCGTACATTACGGCACCTTGGACTACGGCTGTCCATCTAAGGCAAAGCTTGTCAACAGTGCCCCTCGGGCTTCAGGATGTGGTGGACCTACGCTTTTCGCTGATCTGGACGTCTCATTAATATGTACCGCTTGTCCAGAGAAATCTTCAATTCTTCCTGCAGATATGGCGATTCGCCAAAGCCTCCGACCAAGAAGACATTCTGACTAGTTAGTTTGGCGCTCCGATGTAATCCACTGGGGAATCTACCTTACCTTTACCCGATGATTCTGCTTCGAAACCTGGTGTATTTGACCGAGGATAAGATCGATGACTCCGTCGACGCACGGGTCAAAGAGGCCCTTCATCTCTTCGCTGGGGCATTGTTAGTTCTGAGCCAACTTTGGAAAATTGGCGCTACATACTTGGTTATCGTTAAAAGCCCATTATCTACCCTTCCAGGAATATGAATGGGCTTGGGTGTAGGTTCTGGAAGGGGGTCTGGTTGTGGCAACTCGAATCTGACATCCGGAGAGGTGTTTGAGAATGTCTTTTTGTACTGATCAAAGCTTTTCACAAGTCTTCTCACCAAACCTCCTTCCATGGTGTTTGTGGCCTGCTCTCCAGCAATATTTGGATCTATAGTTCCATATTTGTCGTTGCCAATAGTCTCCCGGAGCCAGCGCTTGAAATTGGCATCTATATATGACGATCCAACCTTTGCACCTAGATCTTGAGTCAGCTTCTTCCGAACTGCCAAAGATGGTAAGATCGTAACATACTTGTAGCATTTGAGAACTTTTCGAGCTCAAGTGTTGGTTCCAATTGCTTGACCCTATAGGCCACGGCATCCTGTTTCATTCTATCAGAGGACTGACTTTCAGCGGTCAAAATGATGCACGTACAACTGTTCCACCTCCAGCGTCGCAAAGCACAAAGCAATCTCGTTCCTGAGAATGATCAGTCAATCTGCTAAGACGGTACCGGAACCAAGGATAATTCCAATTAAAGCATAGTTACTTGCCTTCAGAAATTCTTCCTGCTTTTCCTCCTTCAAGTGGCGTGCGGTGAATATTGCAGCCGCCTCTGGTTCTGTGATCATAATGATGTCACTCAACTTAGGAAAGTTCTCCTCATTAAAGCCTGATTTCCGAATTGCCTGAAGGGTTGAGTTTTTGGCTCGATACGACCAATCCTGTTGGTTCTCCGTTAGCATCGGTAGAGTCATCGATGACGAACGCAAAATGGATCTTACCACCGGCACTGTGATAACAATGTCAACCGGGATGTGGCCCATAACATGGGAACCGGAGTCTTGAAATGTTCGCTGGAGAGCTTTGAAGACTTCAGTCAAGTAGTCCGTAATAATAACTTCTGGATCCCTCCACGTGTAATCCGGGTCTCCCTTAGAGTTCCTCACATGTTCAAACTTCAAGTTGCGAGTACCATCTAAAACTTGTAGGAGAAGTTCAAGCTCTTCAATCTTATTGTCTTGCACATCGAGTTCCAACTTTGTATTCACCATTGTCACCGCGTTAGGGTTGATGTTCGCACCCCATTGGAGCTGCCCATCTTCAGATAGCGAGTATGAGAATACGCTTGGGATCTTGAAATGGTTGGTCATATTCGCACCCCAACTAGAAATCGTCTGAATATCTTCTAGTTTAGCGACGTTGGATCGCGACACAGCGTATGCAAGACCTATCCTTAAAATTAGCCAATTCTACGGAGCATGGATATGTTGAACTCGCCTGTGAAAGTAGTGCCGTAATCTATGCCAATGACCAAACGAACCGATCCCTTCTGGCCGCTAGTCTGAGCAGTGGTTTGGCTCTTGGATTGGCCATTGGTTTGGGCACTAATAAAAGCACCAAGATCTTTCACACCTGCTGCCTTTGGTAGGGAATAATCTGCGACATCCACAGCTTTAGGTCGTGGGGGTGGGGGAACATCGCCTCCGCCCAAAAGGTCGTCGTTAAGATAAGATTCTTCTTTGGAATCGCTGGTAGAAGAGGGGCTCATTTTCTGGTCAGATCCGCTGGGCGTGCACAAGATGAGCAATTTGAGAATCGTTGGGTCTTCAAGGATTTCAATGGGTTTCGGGGCCGAGGGGAGTAATATATTCTGCGACTGCCCGCCGAGGGCTCGAGGCTCCCTGGCTCCTTGGCTCCCTGCCTTACTTCCTATGTATTGTTACTGGCTCGATCTTACAATCCTGGGGGCTTCTATTTAACGCGCAGGGGCCGAGACAATCTGGTGCGGCAGAGCCTTGCCACAATATCTCAAGCCGAGCCTCGCAGGACTCGCTATAATTAGAGCTGTTGTGGTCCGATTTTGTTTCCCTTTCCTTGGCACATGCGCGAGGCCAGAAAAGAGTCACAAGGCATATTCTGGCTCCCCTGTTTGTCATGCAAAACAAATCATGAAAACGCCTCCAGGCTGTGTCGACTTCCGTGTGACACGTAGCGGAAAGCCACGAAAATGCTCCCTCACATTGTGCCGCTGGTGACCCAGTCAGCTACCGAGGAGCTTTTCTTTCTCTTGTCTTTGTGTGAAAGATGACGATTTCTTAGAATCACCGGTCACGAACGATACGAACGGTGCATCAGAACGGCCTTGTTGTTACGCTTCACTGAGCCCAGCCAGCCCGAACTAAGGAACCGAAATGAATTCATGGACAAACAAGAGGGAGCTCGAAGCGCTCAAACAACAACTTCAAAAAAGCGAGAGTGACCTCACTTATGCAAGAAATGAAATCGGTGAACTCAAAGTGGCTTGGGCTGCCGAAAAAAAGATATGTAATGCCGCTCTAAAAGCCGCAGAGGCAGAAAGAACCAGAGGAGATGGTCACAGAAGCAGCCTGATAGAGGTTGACCGCCTTATCTTGGAAGAGGCCGAAACATCGCGGCCTTTTCGACCAGGTTTTTCTCAGGCTATCCTCCAGATCCGCCACTCAGAGGGAGGGCAGGGACCCAAAAGCCCCAAACTCGTCTCTGCTCTGTTGGAAGAGTTCAAGAACGATTGGAATACTTCCTTTTTTTTAGACGAACTTCACTCTGACTTGGTTGCATGGGCGAAACAGTGTCATGGACAGGCAAGAGAACAAGTATTCCTTGAGATCGGAGCAAGAATTCAGAACTTTTGCCGGGGCAAAAGTAATGACGTGCAGAATCTTCGTGTGCAGATTACTGGGTGGGAAAAAGGCTTTGAAAATGCGCAAGAGGAAACGCGCAAACATCAGGTACTGGGGGACGGGCTCAGGTCGGATATGCGGAAGATGAAGCAAGACCATGACCAGACAATCACTAAGTTGATTGGGGAGCACGAACTGCACAATGATAGACACGTCGGGGAAGTAGCCAGGATCAAACGCGACCACGGAAAAGATCTCGCTCGTCTAAATGGAAACATAGGGAGCCTGGACAAAAGATATGAGGGGGATATCAAACGCCTCTCGATTGAACACAACAGTGAAATTGCGCGCCTTGAAGAAGAGCATGGAGAAGCAGAAACCCAAGCCCGAAGATATTATGATGAAGAAAAGGCTCGTCTTGAAAAGACCATCAACGGACTGAGAGTGGAGCTAGACCGGCACAAGGAGGAGTCCCGGAACACAGCGACAAAGCTTCAAGCAAGCCATGCTTCTGAGCTCCAGCTCCAGGCTAAGGACCACCAGATCAAGGAAGAGGAAATGGAGAGTGAACTTGGCGAAACAAAACGAAAGCATGAACAGGCAATGCGGAGCTTGGAGTATGAACACGGGTTATTGCTTCAGAAGGAGATAGGTATCCATTCATCTATGATAGAGACTATGAAACAGGACCATGAGAAGGAGAGGTCGAAATGGGCCAGAGATCTCGCAAAGGAGAAAGAAAATCGCACTACCGAAAGACTCCAACTCACTACCGAGTACAACCAACAACAGAGCTTGATGGAGCAGGACTACGCAAATGAGACAAGGCTGATTCGTGAAGCCAGTGACAAGAAAGTTGCCGGATTGAGGGACGATCTTGAGTCTCAACAAGCACAGTTCACTCGTAAGGTTGAAGAGATCAAGGAGGGATGTAAGTTTCAACTTGGAAAACTGATCTCCAAACTTGACAGAATCGAGGCCAGGCATGTTGCGGAGCTCCGTGAGCTTAGAGGTAGTTTCGAACACGAAATCGAAGCATACTGCGAGGCTCTTTTGACTCGAGACAAATTCACACCCATTCCCGACCCAGAGATTACTTCCCGGTTCGTAGCTCTGACGCAAGAGGTTCATGCCCTGTCCCTACTCGAATGGAAAGCAGATCGGAAAAAGTGGTCAACTCAGGTGCTGCATCAACTTTCGGACAACGAGAGAAGTTTGAAACAACAAATCCTTAAAGATATTATCTGGCGGGCCTTGCAGGAGTACATCTTCTGCAGCCCATTCAGAATCTTAGGAGAAGAAGGGAAAGTCTTGGAAAAGCAATGGAACGATGCATGTGGACAAGGTTTGCTCCACGCATTGTCCTGGCAATTGCCTCTTTTAGAAGTCCGCTAATTGGAACAGATCCTCGATTTGACAATGGGTTTTATATCTGGCCTGAGCCGGGGATGGAGGCCGAAAGATGGAGGTATGTGAATATTAAAGAATGCCATGCTGCCCTGAGGATGCGCGTCGCATCGGAATTGGATCACCGAGCGAAACTCAAGAAGAGCTTTAAATTTTCCCTTGAAAATCTGAGAGAAAGCATGTGGAGAAAGATTGGCGAAGTTGTCGAGTACAAAAGAGAAAGTGTTCAGGCAATGGAGCAAATGACAATCAAGGCAGTGAACATGTGGTTGGAGTTTGGGGAGCAAAGATGCAGGATCTTGGCAATCGAAAATCGACCAAATGGTGAAGTTGTTGATGATAGGGTCAATAAGAAAGTAGACCTTCTGGTACGACCACAACTGAAGAGATACGGAAAGTCCAATGGGCAGGATCTTGATATCGAAGAAATTATCAAAGGCTGTGAAGGGGAAAGCATTAATCTGAGCGAAGTGTAGAACGGAAGGAGAAAAGGCGAAACCGGACGAGGCGCGCAAGTCCCAAACGATAGTGGCGGCAATGAAGCCAACGAAGAAGCCGAGGGCAAGCATGCCTAATAGTTTATTGACGATAAGTGAGATCTTCATCTTCAGGATTGTCTGTGGGACGAGGTTAGATTAAGGCGTTCGGGGAAAACTGGTGTGGGAGGCAACAGTAAATCCAAAAGGATTGATGATTGTGAATTACCTTGGGGAGACAGACTCTTTGGAGTTTTTTTTGGCTTGTTGCATAGAAGGTAGGGTTCAGGGTCAGTGTTGCTTGTTGTCTGGAAGATGTTGTGCTGGCGAGAGAGAATTGACGATTGAAGGTGAAATTGTGGAGAGTTGATTAAAGAAGGTGAAGTGGTGTTTGAAGAAGGATATTCAGTAGTAGTTTCTCCTGGAAGGGGAGGTTTGGGGCATGCTTGCGAAGCCGGAAGCCGGATAACGGAGTGTTGGTTGAACTTATTCTTGGTACTTGAAGCATATTAGAATTCTTTTCTTCTCATTACATTGTTAGCTGACATACCTCCACTGAATTTATATTTCTCTTTAGGTATGGATTTGATTTCTCAAACTCCACTGTTTGTAATTGAGCAGACTCTAGGCTATTTGCAACCTCGCAATGCAGGATTCCAAAGCCTATCCAGGCACAGATGCCTCTTCTCGTTGAAATATTATAGGTGCTGGTGGGTGTGAAGTTAGCAGTCACCCAGGTCTATACGCGATATTGCGTATCGATACGGTACAGGGATGTGCGTAACTAGCTTTAAAACACCATTTTTTACCGAGCTTCGGGAAACGCGTCGCACATGAACCATTAGTACTGAATCGCGAATTACTCACAACCACAACTCCTGATTAAGAAGTAAGTTGATCGAATGATAGATAGCCTAGGTATCTATAGATTACTAACAGCATTAGTGCCCAAGCCCGGTGGTCGTTTGCTACTATAAGTAATTGGGCAAATTAATAGTTTTCTATAGAATTTTATTAAAATTATTAATTGTATTTCCAAAATAATTCAAATTACAAATTCTTTCTAAATATTAATATTAGATACAATATAATTAATTTGAGCTATATAGCTCTTACTCCAAATAAGTAATTAAGAAGTTATTAAGAAAAGCGCGGTTTTATTATATATTTTTATGTGATTTTTACTAAAAATACTAATTATATTCCCAAAAATAATTCAAATTATAAATTCTTTTTAAATACTAAAATTAGATGTAATATAATTAATTTGAGCTATTTAGCTTTTATCTCAAATAAGTTATTAAAAAGTTATTAAGAAAAAGATAATTTTACTATAAGTTTTTTATGGGATTTCTATTAAACTTATTAATTATATTCTCAAAAATAATTTATAATATAAAATCTCTCTAAATATTAAAATTTGTTAGCCTATAATTAATATAAGATATATAGCTTACAAGTTAGATTAATAAATATAAAGTTATTAGTAAAATAGTAGTTTTAGTACTTATAACTTAAAAAATTAAGGAAGCGGAATCTTTACTACTTTAAAAAATAAGGCAGTATTAGTTTCTTAAATAACTTTACTATTACTTATTTAAAAGTAGAGCTATTAGGCTCAAATTAATTATAATAGCCAAACTATAATATTTTAAGAGCTTTTATAATTTAGATAATATTTAGTATTATAGCTAAAGGATTATAGAATTATGATTTTATATTAGACAGGTTTTTGTATTCTCGCTAAAAATGGAGTTTTAAAGCTAGTTATATGTTACTATATTAATATAATATTAATATTGAAATTATAAAATCGATTTAGAATTAATTTATTCTTTCTTTCTTAGAATTACTCTTTTATAAATAACTTTTTAACTACTTAACTTATAAGAGAATTCGAAGTAGTATAAATATACTACTTAAATAGACCTCTTTAATAAGCTAGCTAGCTTCGGATTTCAATCTAAACTAGTCTCAGTGCGGCAATTTAAGTAAAGAATCCCTAATAAATTTTAGTGAGGCTCGCTTATAAGCGAGGCCCTGGATAGAAGTTTCCGAATACAAGCTAAATCCGAGAACTAGATTTCAAGTCTAGCTTTCCTCTCTTATATTAACGCTATTTTCCGGAGAAAACGGACGCTGTTACGTAATGGGGTTTGTACGGGAATACTAAAACTTCTAGTATGGTTTAATGTTATAGCAGGCGAGCTTGCAAGCCCGGATGTGGCTATAATAGCCCTTTATAAAATTTCATTTACTCGGGACGAGTTTAGGGCAAAATTATTACTAAGCGGCCCCAAACTCGTCTATATAACAATACTATATATTTGAACTACTTATTAAAAACGGGTTATATAAAGAATATTAAAACTTGAGCCCAAGCCTCTATATATTACTTGCTCCGGAAATACTAAAGCTCTTTACTATATTCTATATATCTCTTAGCCTTTTATTTAGCCTATAATTATATAAATATAAATTCTTTCCTATTGTACTATTATTACGGTTATAAATAGTACTTTTAATATAGGGGATTTCTCCTGGATTTTAAAGGAAATTTATATAAGATATATTTATAATATAAGATCTCTTTTCTCTTATATTTCCTAACTTATATATTTAATTATTAATCTTCTTTAGACCAAAAGAGCTATAAGGTACTTTTCTCTTATAGATATTAATTCGAATATCTCTTAATAAACCTATATTAGACCTATATTACTTCTTATAAATAAGAATAATTCTTAATCTTAAAACCGAATTTATTAAACTTATAATAAATTAAATATAATCTATAACTAGCTAATAAAAACTACTTTTCTACTATTATCTTTTCTTTCTTCTTTTTCTATTTTATCTATTAGCTTTTATTTATAATTCCGGAACCAGTCCGCTTATAACCTTAGCCTAATAAATACTACATATAAGTATTATATAATAAAATACTAGATATTAAAGATAATTATAAATATAAATTAGTAATTTGAACTCTATTATAAAAAGAAAAATATAATATTAAATAAGTTATAAATATCTCTGCCTTTTTTATAAATACTTTTTAAAGGAAATAATTTATAAGCCTATACCTTTTATTAAAATATAAGAATATATAATTCTATATTTGCTTTTATATTTATAAATTATATTAAAAATATATATACTAATCTTTTTTATAGTTTTTATTATTTTTAGATCTATAGAAAGCTATTTTATTATTAAGAACTATTATAATAAAATAATATTATAATAGTAATAAAAAGCTTAAATTAAGTTAAAGGTTATATATCTGGCTAAAAGTATTAGCTATATACTAAGTCACGTGAAGTGGCACCACGTGACTAGTACTATATAATAAGAACTCTTAGAGCTAGACTTATAATAAATTCTGGCCTTTATTTAGTTATTTTCTTATAATTTAGACTATATAACTAATTTCTAGTTCTAATATTATTTATAATTTAATTATATTATTTTATATAGCTTTTATAAGATATTTATAAATAATAATAATTTCTTTATATAAATTTATAAGATAGCCCGGAAGTAATTAGCTAGCTAAATAAATTGCTTTCGGATTTTCTTTAATTTATAAATATATTTTATTTTTTAGTCTATAATAGATTATTATTATAAAACTAGTAAGTATTTTTCCGGACAAGTTTATAAATAAGAATTAGTATAATATTCTTTTTATAATTCGTAAATCCGGCTATTAAAATCTATAATTTTATTTAATAGCTATTATTTATATGATATATATATTTTTTATATAATAAATATAAATAATATTATAAAATAGTTTTATAAGATACTTATTATATTTATTAATAAATTTATTTAAAATAGTAGCCCTTTTACTAGTTCTATTTATATATCTATAATTATAAGATATTTTTTCTTTTTTAGGCTTATTAGCTATTTTAATAATATATTATAAATGCCTTTATTACTTATAAGGCTATAGTTTTTAATTAGTTCTATTTATATTTGTGAGGCATATAATAGCAGGGTACTATACAAGTAGTTAAGGTAAAGGAGTGAAATATAGGGTAAAGTATAGAGTGAAGCGTGGAAGTATAACTAATTCCAAGAACTAGTTCTTATTAAGAAACTAATTAATGCCTATTTCCCAAGCTTACATGCCTTTATATATAGAATCTAGTATTCTGCTGGATATACGGAAGTACTAGTCCCAATTAGGGAATGTGATCCCATATAAGTACTAGCCTAATTAGGCTACTAAATCCAGCTAGACGCTTGCTATTAATATGTGTATTATAATATTAAAATAAGATTTATATAAATATATATAATAATTTAATAAATATCTTTATTTATAAAAATATTTTAGTAACTAATCTAAATTAGTAATTTATTCTTTTATTTTTTTATGAATAGAAATTAATTTATATAATAGTTTTTCTAAGATTTAATAGTTATTATTTATTATTTTAAAAAGCCTATTTTCTTTATTACTTTTATAATAAACCCGTAATAGCTAGAGATTATTTAAGAGCTATTACGAGTTACTTAGACTAATAAATACATATATAGGGAAATAGCTTTATTATATAAGTAAATAGATTAAAAGATATAGCTATTTCCCTATATATGTATCTATTAGTCTAAGCGACTCGTGATAGAATAATAAGGTTCAATAATAAGGTTAGAAGCCTTATTAGCTATTCTACTATATAAGAGCACAGTGCGCATTACGTAACTAGCCGCACACGTGATATATACTGTAATATTACCTCCCCCTTCTAGCTAGGCTTGTCCCCGAGCCGCTACGGGACTCAGGCGCTTTGCTTTCAAGGGAGCTCTCCGGTACTCATATAGTTAACTATAACCTTGCTTGGACTTAGAGTCGACTTGCCAGCTCAGGCCCTCGTTACGCATTCAGCCTGGGGTCTAGACCAGCTTACTAGGGCACCGGAGCACCATGTAATCTCAGAGCACTAATCGGTTTCAGCTATGTGGCCTCGCTAGAAGGGATCACCCACCAACCGCCCAAACCCTCTTTCCGCTCACGCCTACCCCACCAAAATTTTCTCGATTTTTCAAAGTCTTTGGAAAATTCTAAAAATTTGCTAGATTATAGAGAATA